AAAACAAATTAACAGAATCAGCCAAATTATCAGTGCAACTGCTCTAGTAAAATTCCTAATGGAACTAAACTAACACGATTGAATTAACAATATAACCATGAACAAATACTTTAGAATTAAAAGAAATACAGAAGCTATATTGCTGCTGAAACTTGCACATGTATATTGCAATCCAACTGATATGTTTTTCCTGATTTTTGGAATCCCATGACTTTGAGCTTGTTTTTCAACTTACAATAGATTTTATATTATTAGATGATTTTATATTCAAATCACCAAAGAAAAATCTCCTTCAGCAAAAGCCTTATAATTTACAAAACAATGACACCCTAAACATTGAAAATAATTGCAATTATTTTTGCATGTGCGTTAAGCAGCATTCAAGTGTCATGCCGAACCGGAGCGCAGGAGAAAACTTGTCGCTTTAGAGTCTGGCTAAGTATGTTCAATTTTCCATGATTATCAGTAAGAAGTAAAATAAGCAACCAACATATCCTTCAAAATATGCTCTTGATCTTAAACAAACAATGGCAGCTAGGAAATAATAAAGGCTTAGTCTGCATTTTTATATAAGCAAACTCAACCAATTGCAACATGCATAGGAATAAGATTATCAGTTCGCTGGAAATTTTAGGAGTCATCTACGTGGAAATATGAACCATTATTTAAAGTGAAACTCAGATCACTGCTCTGTTCCAACTTCCAAAAGGCCCAAGGTTCTAACAAATCATCCTCAAATTAAGTTATGGCTATTATTGCTATAAAAATGGGACATTTACATAAATACCACCCGATTCTTCCGAATTTACAAATCTAATAACTAAACTTTATTTTTTAAATTTATACCACTCAAATCTTTTAAAAATCAAAGTTTAGATGCTAGTAAAAATTAAGTGGTATGCATGTAAATCTTCATAAAAAAACTACTAAATAAATGTTGTGACCAAAATATGGAAGAGGAAGAATAAAATAATCAGCTCCAGCTTGCTATTCATAATCAACTTATAATATAAGTGATGAGATTCAATTGCCCGGGGTCTA